TTCACTATGTTCTCCATAGTAGCAGCAGCGTCCTGCTACAAACAGCCTTTTTTGCTAAAACTACTGGAATCTAAGGGTTAACTTGAGCCCTAAACTTGCCCTGCAGCTAACTAGGAGCTCCGCTCCAGCAGCCTTCATTTAAATCAATGCAAGCCTCACAGCCAGTGCCCATTTAAAAACTAATGGCAACTCCCAGCTCTCCTAAAAAAGTGTCTCTTTCTCTCTCTTTCCTTTTTCTGGGTTGACTATTAAGTTCTTGGTAATTTACAAAAATCTTGGCCAAGTACAAGAACTTCAGTTAACCCATTTCAAAAAAACAGGTCCTGGTTAGGGGACGCCCTACTACGACCTGTATGGATTCATCAGACCCCTGAAGACGTTTAGGGGTCGGAATCCTAAACATCTGCCTTCTTCTCTCTGAACCTAACTATCTGCTATCTGCATCTCAGCTCACTTGGGCTCCACCCTTCTCCTCACCTTGCCATGCCTGGTGGCATGGCTATCTGGCTTGATACAGACTGGACAAACAGGCTGCAACTGCTACAAAAAAAAAAAATCCCTCCTCCTTTGTTTTAGTTTGGGCCTGTAAATTTACTGTGCTTATCTCATTTCATGATACACCTTAGAGGATTTATTAAATTGTTACTCTCCTCATGTACTATATTTTTGAATAAGAGTTCCTGTTTCTATATTAAAAAAATTTCAGTACAAACTTAATATTTTTAAGGCTAAACTGACGGGTATAAAACCAAAGTTCTAAGCTTATAAGGGCAGCTAACTTATAAATTGTTAAGAATAAGTTTACTTTAATTAAAGATAATTAAGAAATAAAACTTGGCTGGAGAGATGGCTCAGAGGTTAAGAGCACTGACTGCTCTTCCAGAGGTCCTGAGTTCAATTCCCAGCAGCCACATGGTGGCTCACAACCATCTGTAATGAGATCTGGTGTCCTCTTCTGACCTGTAGTCATACATGCTGTATACAAAATAAATAAATAAATCTTTTAAAAAAAAAAAAGAAAAGAAAAAGAAATAAAACTTATTGATTGATTGGCCGACCGAAACTGTAAACTGTTAAGGATAAGTTGTACTTAAGCTATAAGCTATTAAAGATAATTTTCAGGATACAAATTAAAACTTGATCATCATAAATGATCAAATTCTCTAATGTATACAAAATCATATTTATATACATGCTATGTATGCTAAATTTCATATAATCAATTCATTACTTATCCCCTAACATTTAAAAAGGTCAATTTTTGAATCTACCTCTAAAAAGGAACTACTTGTTTTAAATAGGATAAGTAATGAAATTTTTTTGAGTTTATCAAATGTTACTGAACTGAACATTGTTAATATATATAATGGGGTTTTTATCTGAATCTGTCAAATGTTAATGGACTAGACATCGTTAATGTAATTCTTGACTGTATATATTGCATATACTTATTGGATAGTTTTTCTTGTATTAGTTATAAGCTTTTTTTTTTTAATTTTAGACAAAAAAGGGGAAATGTGGTGGTATTGTGTTCCCCAAAATACTATGCACTCTAATAAACTTATCTGGGGTCAGAGACAAAACAGCCACAATATTAAATATAGAGGTTAGGCAGTGGTAGCACACGCCTTTAATCCTATAATTCCCGAGGCAGAAATGCCTCTGGATCTCTGTGAGTTCAAGGCCACATTGGAAAGGCCAGGCATGGTGACACACGCCTTTAATCCCAGAAAGTGAGCCTTTAATCCCAGGGAGTGATGACAGAAAGTGGAAAGGTATATAAGGTGTGAAGACCAGAAACTAGAAGCATTTGGCTGGTTAAGCTTTTAGGCTTTTGAGCAGCAGTTCAGCTGAGAGCCATTCTGGAAGAAGACTGAGAGGCTTCCAGTCTGAGAAAACAAAATCAGCTGAGGAACTGCCAAGGCGAGGTAGCTGTGACTTGTTCTGCTTCTCTGATCTTCCAGCATTCACCCCAATACCTGGCTCCAGGTTTGTTTTTATTAGTAAGAACTTTTAAGCAACAGTAAGTCTCACCCTGGTCTACAGAGTTCCAGGATAGACTCCAAAAGCTACACAGAGAAATCCTGTCTTGAACAAAGAAGCTTGTAGCCCTTTCTCGGGGCCACAGAGTCAAATAATTCTCTGTAGTTCTAACTAGTTAGAAGCACCGCCCCCACGGTGTTTTTGAATAAAGTTGTTTCTGATTAATAGACTTCAGTGGTCTGTTCCCGTTATTTGTGCAACTCCAGGACCCAACACAAGCAAAGAGCAACACAAGAGCAACCATGCATGTTTATGTTTGAGGGAATCCCACAAACATGGAGAAGAATGGGCGCTGGAGGTTTTAGGGCCAACCTGAGCTACAGGAAAGAGCAGAGGCTCAGGGTTGGGACCACAGGGTGCTGAGAGCAAGAGGACCTTCCTGGCTTGGGAGCTGGACAAGGTGGTGGTATTGTGCAAATGTTTTCATGGGTAACCAATGCTGTCTGCCCCAGCCCTCTGTCCTTTCTAGACAGATGTAAATTTCTTTTAAGAAAGTTCAGCTTCTCTCCTGGGGACTGGGGTGGTTTTTAATCCCACAGGTCTTTAATCCCAGCATTCCATAGGCAGAAGCAGGCAGATCTCTGACTTTGAGACCAGTCTGGTCTACAGAGTGAGTGCCAGGACAGCCAGGGGTACACAGAGACAGCCTGCCTGGAAAAACAAACAAACAACAACAGAAAAGAAAGTTCTGCTTCTCACACTGGGTGTGGTTGTGAGGATTATGTCCTTAATTATGTCACCAACCTGCGACGGTGTCCCAGCCTAAAAAGCGGGCATGCCCTCTGTGCCCTCTCTCTTTCCTCACTCTCTCCTTCCATATTCGCCCCTCACCCTCTCTCTCCCAATAAAGCTCTAGAAAGGTAACTGGCTCATGACTCTTCCGTCACTGATACATCCAGCACTCTCCTCCACCAGCCACGAGTGCTGCCCCTTAACCAACAGTGGTGGCACATTCCTTTAATCCCAGCACTCTGGAGGCAGGTAAATGGCTGAGTTCAACGCCAACCTGGCCTACATGGTGAGTTCCAGGACAGCCAGGGCTACACAGAGAAAACTGGTCTTGAAAAGCCAAAAAGAAAAAGGGAAAGGAAGAAAAAGAAAAGCAAGTTCTGCTTCTCACACCATAAGATTCTTAGAACAAACTGAAGCCACGCCTAAGAAGTGTGTTTTGGGGTGGCAAATTATCTCCTACCATCACATTTTGGGGTGGTGTACCCCGAGCCAACACACCTAAAGCCAGTTCTCCAGTGCTGCTCAGGAAACTCAGAAACACAGGTGCCTCAAAGTTGTGGCTGCAATTGGTGAGGGCAGACGCTGGGAAGGAACTGCGGGCTCTGATTGGTCAGGGCTAACGGGTTGGCTAAGACTGTAGCCTTTATGTTCTTGGGCAAGTCTGGACAGTCCCTGGTTTCATCCTTATTTGGTTATTGACCTAAGGTAATGGGATTGGCCCAGGCCTAGTCCTCGCAGTTCTCATGTCCTCACCATTGGCAAGTGGTCGCCCTTTGCCCATGTCCTCTTCAGAAACAAGTCCAGGTCTTGTTTAGTTTCAAGGGGCAAGAACTGAGGCCTAGTTCTTAACTGAATTATTAGGAGCCTGTCATGATATTTACCTGGCCCTCTCAGAACTGTTTGGGAAGGAGTAGGAAGTGTGGCATTTTTGGAGGAGGCATGTCACTGGGGGCAGCTTTGAGGTTTGAAAAGCCCATTCTACTCCCAGTGTTCTCTCTGCCTCCTGCGTTCACATCACGATGTGAGCTCTCAGCCACTGCCTCTGTGTCCTGGCTCTAACATCATAACCTCAAGCTCTCTGGAACCCACACGCCCTTTTAAATCACAGTAATAGAAAAGTAATTAAGACATTCTCAACCACTTATCAGATTCTGGAGAAATGAGCCTTAGGGGATGGTGTGGTGCCATGGGCTGTTTTTGTGGTGAAGGGTCCAGGAATAAAGAAATATAAAATTGTAAAACTGCCAGTCAACAGCTATAAGGGTTAAAGTCTAACAACGGCTCTCTGCTTAGCGCCAGCTCCTCTGTCAACAGCCAGGGGTTAACTTTTAACCCCCTTGTTCCTTATAGCCAACAACTCCCTGAACCAAAGTTAACTTTTAATAGATATTTCTATGTAACTACTAGCATGCACCCCATGCCTGATGCTTTCCCCTTTACTACAAAAAGGGGGCCAGAACCCCCTCCTTTGCCAAGAATCCCAAACACTGGCTGTGGTCTCTGCTATCCGATAATCTTTTGTGCCCTGCAGCTCAGTGATTTTCTTCCCGCACCCTCTACCCTTTGGTTTTTTATTCTGGAATAAAATCTGCTGGTTTAATATACTTTTGTGGTTTGCCCCCCATTATTGTGTGACCTCGGACCCAAGAGTGGTGCTGGAGGACTCCACCAGACCCTTTCCTTCCCTCCCTTGGTGGAGACAAGGACAGCAAGAGCCTTTGGCTAAGAACCCGACAACTTGCTGGAACAGCCCCCCTCCCCTCCCCCCATGGCTGTCTGATGTAATACAGAACAGCCCCTCCAGAAAGCTCCCGTTCCCACTGGGGGAGGCAGAGGGACCCTGTGAGAAGACTGTAGAGGTGCCCTGCCACGTAGCTGCCTGGGGCTACTCTTGCTCTGCCTGGATCAACTCTCAGATGGACAAGAGATGGCTCTCTCAGCGTTAGGGTTTCTAGAGGCTCACGTGTGTTCTCAAACCCAGAAGGCTGAGGCTCTAACCCTTGAGAATCAGAGGCTTACACTCCAAGCGTTCGGCAGGAGGCTGTTGATCTTGCCGTTCAAGGCAGAGGCTTACAGAGCTCCGATTCTACACTCAGGGGCTGCAGTGACAGCTGGGGGGTCAGCACTCACTCTTCACCCTCTGCACCTCTCTGGCAGCCCTTGACTTCTCTCGGTCTCTGCTCCCACCTCACACTCCGCACTCTGTCATCTTCCGGCTCCTTCCTGTCATTTGCCTCCTCAAAACATTGATGTCCTGGTGCTGTCTGCCTTCATCACTCTCTGAACTGTTTGGCTGCCCCTAGTGCCACAGCTCAGAACTGCAAGAACAGGGCCCTTAGCTCCTTAGTCCATGGTGGCTCTCTGGGACTCTAGCAGCCACCATGTTGCAGCTACCAGAGCCAGAAGCTCCAGTCCACTTTTCCTGCAACCAGAACAGCCAGCCTTATTAAAGCCAAAGTGTTATAGTTTACTTAAAACTGGGAAGTGAAAGAGAGACACACACCATGTGACAGCACTCATGTGGAGGGTTTATTGGGGGAGGGGAAGGAAGAGACTCAGAGTGACACCCCTGGAGACAAGAGCTGAGAAATGAAGAGGTGGGAGGTGGGTGGGTTCTGCCTTTTATGAGGGAGATGAAGCACATGCTTTTGGCACAGAGACTACATAGTGAATGTAGCACATACACACAGAGACTATGTAGTGACATAGTGGCCATAGGACACTTGGCTGGCCAGCGTACCTGCCTGAATGCTCGTAAGCGCATGCATACAGGGATGACACATTCTGCGAGGTCCCCAAGGGGAAGGCCAGGTAATGCCTGAATGCTAACATTCCTCCTTTTTGTTTATTATAAAAAGGTGGGGAGTTAGAGGGGGATAGCAGGTGGGGTGGGAATGAGGGTGCTGAGTTCTCAGCTTCCTGCTGGCCTGCGGGGCATTGGTCATCTTTGAGGGACCTGAGTAAGCTGGGGTGCTGTCTACATCCTGAAGTAGCTGGTTGTTCCACTGCTGTCCAGGCTCTGTGGAACTGTCTGACACCATTTGGACCTGGCAAAATGCTGTTCAAGATGGATCCTAGTTGGTTCCCTTGAGCTCACAAGAATTATGAGTTTACAAAAAGAGGTAAGTTTTAGACACATTAACATTCCCACTGTTTATATTCTGTACTGAAATTTACATTGTAAAAAGTCATGCCTTTGAGTCACAGGGTGTCGCTGGCTCTGCAGCTGGGGTCTCACTGTCTCTGATCCTGGGGGCAGGGGGTGAGTAGACACAGAGTCAATGACACAGATTCTGGGAGTTTGCAAACATTCTCTTTTATTAACCAAAAGACTGAGGTATTTATGTGTGGGCTGTTTGGTAGGCATTTGCTTCTAACTGCTGTGGCATTTCTTGGTTGACTCTAGGCTGCCCATCATCATTTTCCAGTTTGGAGTTTATGGGTCAAGTTTCCTCTGGCCAGAGTGCTCTCTGTGCATGTTGCAGCTCATTATTTGCTTAAGGCCCCCAAGTGCTTTGGCCTTACCCGCCTCAACAGGAGGCCCAGAAATGTTTCTGGTTGAAAGCATTAACTTTCCAGACTCTTTTTCTGTCTGGAAAATTGTGACAGGTGTTTTTAGCACAATAAAAAGCACCTTTTGAGTCTATTATTAGAAAACAACCAAAGGGAATTTAAAATCCTGAGCTTGTGGCTATGATCATATAGTAGTAGTAGTATGGTGTTTAGTACTCTGCCAGAACTAGATTAATAGTTTATCAAAATTCCACCAGTTAATGTTAAAGTTATGAACAGTAACATAGTGAGAGAGAGAAATCTGGAACATGTTTCATTCCTTCATGGGTCTCAAATCACTTCCTTTTTATCAGCACTTAAGCCTTTTCATCCTCAGACTTTTATAACTTGCATTTGCACACCTTAAATTACTTTCTTAGACTCTAAAACATTCTTAGATCCTCACATCTTAAGCTTTCATATCCTCACATAAACTTTACACCTTAAAACACCTTTTTTCTGTCTAATTCACCAGGAGATACAGGTGACTGACCACTGACAGCAGTCACTGTGAAGCAAGTTCCTTTAAATAAAGGAAATAAAAATCGCAGAAGTTATTGTTTTGTGAGGTTTTTTTTTTAGTTTGGTAGCAAGGTAAACTGTGTCTAGACTTATTATTATCCCTAGAAGTGGGAGGCCTGTGTCCTGAATTTTACACAGAGAACTGAGACGGCAGCTGAAGCCTTGGTTCCTACTGTTAAGATGACAAAGCTACCACTAACCTCGTCATCAAACAGCACCAGAGTTCTGAGAAGGATAAATTTTACCCGAGTTAGTGATTAAAAATGACAGAGACTTACTTGCTGGCTACCTAGACAGCCACTCCAGGACCCTCCATGTTTGTTGAGGGCAGAGGTCTAAGGGCAGCATCAGTCTTTGGCTGCCAGGCCCCAGAAGATCCAACAGAGTTTCCTGTGGAGTAAGAACTTGTGGGGGGACCAGGACGATCCTACCTTGTCTAGGTAACTCAAGGCTGACAATTCCCCAGTGTCCTGTTGTCCAGAGCCTGGAGTGTGTCTTGGCAGTAGTTGAGGTGAAAGGCGGTATCTGCTCAGTGGCTGGAGTTGCCACATTTGAATCAAATTCCAAGTGGAGGTTCTTCTGTGCCCATCCATCTTCTTTGGAGGTAATGGGGTACTGCCAGGAGCTGGCATGTCCATCACTAAAAGCTTTTTAATTAAGCATTTTAAATGCCATATTCTGCAGATCTCTGAGCATTTGATGTCTGTCCATCTATTAGGTATATCTGAGCAAACAAACTTGGCTTCTAGTTACTTGTTTTAAGCTTAAATTTGAAAACATATATAGGGGACTAAGTAAGGCTTATCCCTGTAATCAATTATAGCAGTGCTTAGTGTGACTGCAATTAAAGAATTTGATCATTTATAAGGATGACTGACTATTTAATTGTCTTCCCTAACAGTCTACAATATGTTAGCAGCTTTCATAAGACTAGGACTTTGCATTTCATTCCTGTTGGGTTTAGCCTTAAAATTTTTAGATTGAGGCTCTTCTAGTATCAAAATGAAATCTTTTAATCATAGACAACAGGCTCAGTAAAGAAACCAAAATAACCATTCCATGAGTAAAAACAACAAGTTTGAACCAAGCTGTTAAGGAAGGCAAGGAAAAGTGAGAAGGAGAAGATCCTAGGAAAAATGGGAACAGGAGAAAGGGGGCTTGTGAGTTGGGGTGTGGCCCATGAGCAGGAACTTAGGGAGCCCAGAGGCCAAC